TTGGGGGTATGCACAGGTCATGGTGCACATATGGATGTCAATTTTATGGAGTCAGTTCTCTTCGATCTTTATGAGGTTCCAGGGATCTAACTCAAGTCAGCAGATTTATACAGCAAGCACCTTTACCTGATACGCCATCCTGCAGGCTCTTGGCTTATTTCTCTCCAGTGTATTGCCCGTCTTTTTCTCCTCACTTGTCAGGTACCTTAACATTACTTTTGTGAATTTCTGAAGCTCTTTCTCTCTTTTATTGTTTTTATTTTATGTGTACGAATGTTTTGTCACATTAGATTAATTTCCCCACATCAGTATGACCAGGCCATTTCCAAGGATCATTTCCATCATGGCTGACACCAGCCTTTAGCAATACCTTCCTTCCTAGGCTGTGAAGGCTGATCTTGATTATCAACTTGACTGGATCTGGAATTAACTGAAATCAGACTTCCTTGATTGGATTATTTGAAGCTAGAATATCCACCCTAAATGTGGGCATGACCTTTTGATGGCAGTCATATAAAAGGCCATGGCAGAAGGGAGCTCTTTTTTGCCCCTTGCCGTCTCTCTCACTGGCAGTTTCATCTTGTGGCTGTGGCATTCCTCTGCTGATAGTAGAACCAACACCTCTGGATTCCAATGTAGACTGAAGACTAGCAGATCTTCAGGAATCCTTCAGGCCTTCAGCACCAGATTGGGACTGCTCAGACATCCAGCCTCGTGGACTGAGTAACTATCAGATTCTCAAGCCTCTCCAGTGTGGCACAGCCATTGTTAAGACTACTCAGACTCTATCCTGTAAGCCAGTCTAATAAATCCATATATATGTGACTATGTATATATTCATTTAATCAGTTCTGTTTCTTTAGAGAACCTACCTGCCCACCTAACTCACTCTTTAAAAAACACCATAGTCTAATAACCCATCACAATAGTTCTATATGAATCATCACTCCGATCTTAACTGTGCCCACCTTGATCTGTGGTTTAAGTGCCTTCTTCCCAACACTAAGGACCCCTGGTTGTCCTGGTCTTATCAATTGAGCTCAGGAGCATTTTGTAGTTTTCATTTAATTTGCATATTTATTTGTTCTTTTCTATCATGTGTGGTTGGTTGGTTGCCTGGTTGGTTGGTTGGCTCGGTGGCTGGGTGGATGGTTGGTTGATTCATTGGTTTATGGCCTATGTAGCCCAGGCTGGCTTCAAAGTGGAGCTCTTCCTGCCTCAGCCTCCCAAGTGCTGAGATAACAGGTGTGTGTCACCATGCCTTGATACTTCTATTGTTTTGTGTATTAGGTTTCCCAGATCTGTCCTTGAGTACTTTCCCCATAATCTTCATTTCTGTTTTTATTCTATATGCCTCTATGTTTGCCTCATCTTTCAGACCACTAATTGGTTCTTCAGAAATCATCAGTGCCTCTTTTCAATTTATTGTGTAATGGCCCCAGATGGAGTCCCCAAATTGTAATAGCCAAAGTAACTTCATTTTCTCCATTTTGTATAAAGCAGTCACTTTAAGCTCCAAAGGCTAGAAAAAAGGCCAGCTTCAAGGTCAGGTCTGAACTTAGTTGCTTTCCCTTAGAAAAGTGCTTTCTTGGGAGTAGCTGACCTTGGTCACCTCCCAGACACTGGAGCTGTGCTTCTTGCCTAGCCAAGAAGCCTAAATGACAATAGTAATCAGAAAGTGCCTTACTGTCAAGGTCTCTATGCATCTGTTAAGAGGACTAACAAAAGCTTGTTTTGGCTTCTGTAGTTTTCTTATCTGCCAATTTTGGGCCGTCCTGCCCCTACTCAGGACCACCTGACATTACTCATGTGTGAGAAATTCTTGTGGTTCTTGCCTTTATAAGCTAGTATCACCCTCCCTTCAGGGCCATGTGTCCTGAATCTAAAGGACCACGGATGGCTATAGCCTTAATAAATTTGATCAATTAAAATTCGAATTGGGTCTGGTGGTCTTTTCCTAGTGTTTTCAAACTCCATCATAACAACTGCATTTTACAAAATTTTTGGTTTGGGATGGGTTTTTTATTTGGTTCTCTCTAGGTAGCCTAGATCTCACTATACAGACTAGACTGTTCTCAAACTCATGATTCTCCTGCCTCTGCCTCCAGAGTGCTGAGATTATAGGCATACATACATCATCACACCTAGCTCTTTACTGAATGCCCATGTGCATGTGAGTGATTGCTAAAGTTCTTTTCTGGTTCTCCTTTATCAGTTGGCCTTGGGCCATGACTGAGCTCTGCTCTTCCACACTTTCCTCATCTATACAAATGAAAAAGCATAACCAACAAAGGCTCCACACCCATATTAGAAAGCAGCTCATCTGGATGCCTGTGACCTCTGCAAAGCCAGCAGTGGTTGAGGCAACCACTGGTCACTCACTCCCAACACATCCCTTCTGTCTCACCACACTGCCCTCCTCTGGCACTCAGCATCAGGGGTGTCTCACCACCTACACTTGAGTTGTGGCCAAGCAGTCTGTCTGCAAAGCCACTGCTTCCTTGCACAGACCTCCTTCTGTTGGGTTACAATTTCCATTCCATCTTGTAAGGAAGCTCTTTAAGATGGGAGATGTTAACAAAAAGAAAGATAGGATGCTCTAAGGGGATTTAAAACAACAGGATGTCCTAGGAGGAGGTGAAACATTCCATCCTGCAGGAAGTGAACAACTCGCTTCAGGAAGTCCCTGAAACCAACCAGGTTCACAAGGCCCCAGCTACCTAGAGGACTCTGACCAGCCCAACTGCCTGGAAAAGGCTCAGACCAGGTGAGCAACCTGTTGCACTGCCTGCCACTGTGCAGTGTGCTCTGGGCCAGCTATTATGAGCCGTCACCATGCTTGGGTGGGCTTTTGGCAAAGGAGCTAGCTTTGAGTTATTTCTGCTCTTGTAACAACTCCAAATCCATATTCCTGAAAGAAACCCCAATAAAACTCATTGGTTCACCAAGTTGGATTTTGGTGGTGTCCTTACTTTGGTCTGTCATCTGTTCCCTACCTAGGGTAGGAGTAGATGTTTGTTCACACATTCCCAGGAAAAGGTGTCAGACAACACCTTCCCAGCACTGCACTGATGTGTGAGCCTGGGGCACTGAGAATCCCTTGTAAACTGCAACTTCACCCCCTGTGGAATTCCCTCTTCAGGCACAGGTTCTCCCTTCCACTCTTAAGAGGGTACTCAAGTAGGGCTCATTCCAAGTCTTTGTTCTGAAGGACAACACGCCCCCAAGTGTGCTCTTTCAGCAGAACCTTCCGAAAGTACTTGTGACACAAGGCATATTCCCCTGGAGGTGCAAGGTTGTGACCAAGAAATTCGGTCTTCAAATAGGGGAAAATGTAGCATTACCACCACACTTCAGCTTTTCTTAATTCTTTAATACACACTTTCAGTCTATACTGTTCACTCAGGAGGCATGGACCAAACCTGTGTGTGTGTGTGTGTGTGTGTGTGTGTGTGTGTGCACAGTTGTGAAGTCAGAGGTTACAGACACTATGCCATGCTTATGTGGAACATTATAAGCTCCAGGACTGAAGAGCTGAAGTGAATGAGATGGGGGAAAAAAAAGTCTTCATAGTAATCTGAAAGGGTGAGCCCTGAAACAAAAGTAATTTTTTAAAACCCTAAATAAAGCTCAGAAGGCCTAAGTTATGGAACAGGCCTGTCCTGCTGAATTGGACGACTAAAGGGCTCCTGCAGGATAATTAGTAGAAGTCCAGATCCCTGTTTTCTACTGAAGTCTCCAAGAATGGAGGAAGAGATTTTTCTTTTTTTTGTCTTTTTTGAGACAGGGTCTCCCTGTAGCCCCAGCTGTCCTGGAACTCGCTATGTAGACCAGGCTGGCCTCGAACACATGAAGATCCGCCTGCCTCTGCCTCCCAAGTGCTGGGATTAAAGGCGTGCACCACCACGCCCGACGGAGGAAGAGATTTTTGGAAATAAATTCTTATTTTGAATTTGAGTACCAGGTACCTGGGGAATGGCCTCATGCAGGGGACAGAACATACTGTTCAAGTATCTGTGAATGGAAAGGAGATCTAGGTTGGACCATCACCAGCATTTATGGTGGTCATATCTATAGGTGCAGATGAGGGCTCCTCGAAGAAAGGAAAAAAGAACAAAAACCAAGGCCAATCAACAACCAAGGAACAGACAGGCAAAGGGATACATAAAGGAGAGAACTTAGGAAAGAAGCAACAGCCAGGGAGGCCTGAAGGCAGAGTGGCCATCCCCACAGACTCACTGGCTACAGCCATATCGATTTTGAAGTGCACACTGCAGTCCACCACTCACATGGGCTATGCTAATGGCACCCCCACGCACCCCAACTATGCAGTTCATGACCTGCACAGTCAGGTGTGGTGAAGCTCTTCTGATCAAATGCCAGTTAGGTCAAGATCAGAAACAAATGTGCTGTTCACTTTGGCACGTGTGATAGAGCATACCTGTGAGCTCAGCTATGGGAAGCTGAGGCAGAAGGATTGCAAGTCTGGGGCCAGCCTGAGCTACATAATGAGTTCAAGACCAGTCTGTATAATGTGGTGAGATTCTACCTCAAAAAATTTAAGAAACACAACAACAACAACCAAAAAAAAAAAAACAAAAAAACCCTATGCAAGGGCTGAGGATACAGTTCAGTGGTAGAGAGCTTACTCAGCATATATAAGGCCCCTGGTTCAATCTATAGCACTGAAGAAAAAATGTTTTAAAACCTCAAGATTATACAGTACCATAAATTTTTCCTTTGTAAAGAATAACCACAAAAACGCTGTTAAACCTGTCTTTCCTACTCAAACAGATACTCCATGAACCCAGTGCTCTGCCATCTTCCCCACAGTACCTGGCAGGTTTTAGGTGCTCAATGATACTAGAGAGATGGATGGGTAACCGGTACACCAGTGAGGACTGGAAGACAGAGAAGAGAAACACTTGCCAAACACTAACCTATCTCCCAACACCCCAACTTCACAGCCAGTAACAGAATACATACCCACATCAGTTTAATTTATTCTTCATACAAATATTTTGCAGTTTTATTTTTTAATCATTTACATATATGCATACAAAGAAAAATAAATTTCAGGATGGAACCTTGGGACCATGGTAGTTTAAAAAACAAAATCTCTGATCATTAGCTACTGAAGACAAGGCAAGAGGCTTAGCAGTCATTTCTGGGAGTTCGTTTGTCTCCTGATGGAGAGAACAGGTGAAGAATCCAGCTGCTCCCTCAGCGTCCCTTAATCTTCACCTTGTAGAAGTAATATGAGCGGAGGGGATTTTTCAATGCTATCCCCTAGAAACATTTCAAGAAGGCTTATGGTTAACACTGAGCCCCCTCTTTGTTAGGAATTTGGCAAGACTGCAACTTCTGAACCAATTTACTACAAGAGTTAGTTAATTCCTACTTACAGGTCTCCCAAAGAAGGGGGCACTGCAACACTCACTGTACCCGCTGTTCTTCCACCAAAGGCCTCAGGACAGATCCCATCTAATGCTCTGGGCTCATTCCACACGAGCCTCCCTCCCAGCCTTTGCCTACTCTGCAGCGACTAGCTCTGGCCCTGAGGACTTAGGATAACCCATGAGCATCTACTGCATCAGTGTCCACACACAGAAAATCTCAGCTCACTCCGAAGAGTGGCAGAATTACAAGTGCCTCCAAAGCTCGGCGCTGTGGTGCTACGTCAGTCTTTCAGTTGAACAGGCCAACTCCTAATGCATTTATCCCAGATGCTCAGGAGAACCTCCTACACTCAGCTGACCAAGGAAGATGGACTGTTACCAGTTCCCAGTAAGAGTGGGGCAAGGAGAGACATCACAAATATGGTAGACCCTGTCAGAAGTGGCAGCTGATGACAACAGTTTCCCTATATCATTGGGTCCTACCCAAAAAAGCAGCACCAAGGAAGGGCATGATGAGCAGAGAGATCTGTACCTGGATATACAGTCCTTGAATTACCAAGGGACATAGACAACAGCTCATTCCGTACAATTATGTAGGATCTAGAACACAGACTGTGCACCCTACACTGAGGCAGCTCCTGAGAGGTCCTACCGCTTATGGTCATCAGCCCACCCCCTTGGTAGGCCCATTGGAGGAGAGGGAGTCACACTCAGTGCGGGGACCCCTTCAGGCAGACACTCACAGGGCAGCCCATCCCACTGTCACTGGGGCAGGCCAAACATAGCTAGGAGGGCGGACAGATCCCGAGCGTCGGCCGCCCCATAGGCATCACTCTGACCTAACATAGACAATGCCAAACGCAGGGTGCTCCAGATGTTCTCTGACATGGCACCTCCCTCACCCCGAGGGCCCCGGCTCTTCCTCTGCATGTTCAGGGCCTCCAGAAAGTGTTCCACAGCCTCACTGTAGGAAGGAGGAAGAATGAGAGGTGATGAAGAGAGCAACGGTGAAGGGCAGGTGACAAGCTGGGGAGGGAGAAAGCTGAGGTTGGTTGGCCAAGTGACAAGATGGGAAAACTGGAAGCCAAAGGCAGGGAAGAAAAAGTTCAATTGGTCAGACTCAGTAGATACTTACCGGTGAGCCCCAAGGTTGATGCAGCTGATGCCCAGGTTATAGCGAGACCGGATATAGCCTGGCTGCAACTCAAGGGCTCTTCGGTAAGCAGCCACTGCCTCTTCACTCTGGTTCCCGTTGGCCAGGGTGGCCCCAAGCTTGTTCCACAGCAAATAGTCCTGGGACGGGATGGGAAAGGCTGGAAGCATGAGCTAGGCTTGGATCAGCTTCTTCCCGGACCTCCTCCTGCCTCACTACTATTTGGCTAATGTAGTTTTCTAACCCATTCTGTTCCCTTCAATAGCTCCTGGTACGGCCACAATATAACTCCTTACATCCCATGTAGACTCCCCTGTGTCGATATGCTCCTGTTCCCCGACCCTTCTTTTCCTAGGCTTCCCAAGGCTTTCGGGGCCTGGACACTGGAATGAAGTCACCCATGTGCAAATGATACTTTGGCATTCTTTCCCTGCGGCTCACATTGGGACGAACACTGAGGGCAGCTGTAAAACAGTCCACAGCCTTGTCATACTCCCCACTCAGATTGAAGAGGACTCCCAAGCCACACTGCACATCAGGGTCAATGGATGTAGGGTCCAGGCGCACAGCTGCCAGGAAGAGCTCTTTCACTTCAAGAAACAGGGAGCTGGATAAGGGGAAAAACACGCAACATGAGTAGATCTTGTAGTCCTATCCCCAAAATAATTCCTTTAAAAGTCAACTATATTCCCAAGATTCATCACTACTTTAGTCATCTCCTTTACCCAAATCCCAGTTTAGAGCCTGTTCTGTTACATTCCAGCATTGCACTGTAGAATGAGCGCTCCTTCAAGTTGACCCTGGATAACCCACTGCACTACAGGCTCATGGTCTGAATATATCTAAACTTCTAACATCAAGGTCATGCTCTTACTGGGACTCACATTACCCTCCTCATCCTGAGCACCCCACACACTCACTCAGACACCAGAGATCCTAAGACACGCTTGCTGGGAGCCAGTCCTGCCCCCGCAGCCCCTTCTTCACCAGGCGTCACCAGATGGGCATAGGCTGGTGAGTACCGCAGCCAGTCTCGGAGGGTCTCACAGGCCTGTCGCTGTAGGGACTCGTTGGTGAAGCTCACAGCAAGCGCCATCAGTGCTGTCCGGTTATCTGGCTTTAGCTCCAGACACCTGTGTGGACAGAGATGAGCAGACTGGGAATCTACAATGGCACTGACGCCCTCTGTAACCAGGATCCAGGCCAAGCTCTGAAATACAATCACGGTGGCCTGACCTTTCCCGCCCTCTTAGATTAACACAAAGAAGAATCTTCTGGCCTTCAGGTCAGTAACATTCCAGTCTAAGAAGGGGAATGTTTTAGAAGTCAAGGACCAACCAACACCCTACAAATAAAATCAAAGCTGATGAAGGATCAAAATCAAACCTCTCCAACTCACTCCTCTGGCCATTAGTAAGCTGTATGATGTGGAACCCCACAGGTTCACAGGTACATCATGAAAAGACATGTGTCAGTGATCAGAAAGAAGACAAGGACCTGGTTCTGGGCTCCTACCAGGCTCTAGGCAAAGCCCTACATCCACCCGCCCTTCCTTTGGCATACTCACCTCCGCAGAGCACTGATAGCCAAGAGCTCTTGCTCATTCTCAGCCTGGGTGGTGCCCAGGTACTGCCAAGCCTAGAGGGAAGTTGACAGACTCTATTACTGCCTTTCCATCCTCTCCTTCTGTGCTTCCCCCACTCACTAATCTCCCAGAGGACACAACACATCTGCACTCCACTTTGGGTCCCCCTACAAAAATGGAAGAAGCAGAGAGAAGAACCCCACTCACTTCCATGTGCTTAGGGTCCTGCTGCACGGCCGCCTCAAAGAGCAGCACCGCATTCGGCAGGTCCCCGTCCTGAAGTCGCCGCAGCCCTTCTTCAAAAGGCTGAGGGTGGTCACGCAGGGGGTTTTCCTCCTCAAACTGGTATCCCTACAAAGGAAGCAAGTGGGGAACTGCATAAGAGGAAGTTACAACAGTCAGAGCAGCAGGGCCAGGTGAACAATAGCCAAGACACACAGAGGCGAAGCCTTCCACAATATAAAGACCATCGATGACAACGTAAACTCACTGGGTATCAGGCTCACCCAGCCATCTCTGATTTATGATAACTGGAAAGCTAGGCAAATCTACCACTGATCCATGCTGGGATTATAAACTTATTTTAGGAAGTCTTCACAGGCCTGCATCCATATCCTCAACTTCCCCCCACTGAACAGAACATGCTTCTCAAAAGCACCTGCTGATTATAGCAATAAGATAAAGCTCTCCTTAGCTGCGGAGTGTAGTTATTATCCTCCAATAATGTGCTCATGTAGAAGCCAAGTGTAAGGTGGAGACAGAGGCCCTCTGCCTTCAGGTGCCAGTCTTACCCAGCTCACAGGGTCACTGTATCAACTGACTGGGTACATCTGAAATGTTAAATTTATTCCCCATAATAACTATGTTTGTTGGCTGTTTTGTTTTCATTTTTAGGCAGGGTCTTGCTATGTAGCCCAGGCTGGCCTCAAGCTCATGGCAATTCTCCTGCCTCGGCTTCCTAAGTGCTGATATTACAGAACTGCACCACCATATCCAGCTACTAAATTTTAAGTGAAGCATGGCACCACATCAGTCTCAAATTTCAAGAGAAACCTGGATCCCAAAATCTGGATAGTAGATTAGCTGGGTGTGGTGGTTAATCTCAACACTCGAGAGGCAGAGGCAGGCAGAACTCTGTGAGATCAAGCCCAGCCTGGCCTACATAGTTCATTCCAGGCCAGTCAGGGATACATAGTGAGACCCTGTTACAAAAAACAAAACAAACAAACAAAAAACAATATAAAAGAATGAAAACAATATGCAAGACACCAGGCAAGGTTTGAACATAGTTTAAAACATAGTACAGATATGGACAAATTAGAATTCAACTGTACAGAATAAAGACAAGATGTTCTTTTTCATCATTATTGTCAAACAATGGAAGAATTTTATTACCAGCTAAGATCTAAACCACTCTGAGTCATCAGCAGCAAAGGATTTGTCACAAAGGAAAATCAAATAATTAACAATGGGGATTCAAGACATGAGACACATTATAAGAGATGAATTTGAGGTAAATATGTAAAAAGGATAGTTGGGACATCTTTGTACAATATTAAAAATTCAGAAGGTAGAAAAGGACCCTAGTCCAACAGTTAGCATGCTCTCTCTATAAAGGAGCAGACAATAAATACTTCAAATTCATAATCTTCCTGTCTCAGACTCCCAAGTGCGAGTACAGGTGTATATTGCCATGCCTGGCTCCCTAATTATATTTTTTTAGTATTTTCTTATTTTTGTTTTATGTGTATGAGTGTACTGCCTGCATGTGCGTGAACGCGTGTCATCAGAAAAGGGCATCAGATTCCCTGGAACTGGAGTTATGGATGGCTTTAGCCACTATGTTGGTGCTGGGAATCAAACTTGGGTCCTCTGCAAGAGCAGCCAGGGCTCCTAACCACTGAGCCATCTCTCCAGCCAACCCCCCATTACATTTTTAAGCTTTTAATTTAAAAGTATATTCTACCCAGCATGTCATAAATATGGGAGTAATAATTGCTAAGAGGAAATATTGTTCATATGAAATCAGTACTATGTCTACATTTATCAAATATATAGAAATTCTTATCTAAAATGCACAATTTACAACAACTTATTGAATTATTAATACAGAATAATAAAAGTGTTATCTAGAGAAATGTCTTTCAATTCTTCCGTATCAGCTTTCTACAGGAAGAATTCATACTGCCACAAAATACAAGGCAAGGTCCCAAGTAAGTTCCCCTTTTTATATCACAGGACAGCTCTCAGACAAGCCCAGATCAGATCGAAATAATAAGCAAAGTCTAGTATTTTTCCTCATACTAGGCTTTTCATCATCTCTCAAGCCGCAGCCTGTTGTTGTGGTTATTGTTGCTGCAGTGGTGGTAGTGGTGGTGTTTTGAAACAGGGTCTCCCTGTAACTCTAGCTGGTCTGGAACTCGCTTCAAAGACCAGACTGGGCTTGATCTCACAGAGATCCCCTATCTCTGCCTCCCAGGTGCTGGGATTAAAAGCATGCACCACCACTCCCGGCCCGTTTTAAAAGATCCTGAACTTCATTCTCCCTGTCTTTGCATAGCTCCCTTATGTTAAGATCCATCTCTACCACCTAGCTCTGCATCTTAGGACCCAGCTCTAGCCACAAAGTCCCCTACAATATCTGAGCTGAGAAAAAGGAATTCTCAATTCCTATTTTATCTTTTTTTTTTTTTTTTTTTTTTTTTTTTTTTTTTTTTTTTGGTCTTTTTGAGACAGGGTCTTCCTGTAGCCACAGCTGGCCTGGAACTCGCTATGTAGACCCGTCTGGCCTGAACTCACAGAGATCTGCCTGCCTCTGCTTCCCAAGTGCTAGGATTAAAGGCTTGTGCCACCACACACATCCGGCTATTTTATCTTTTCAAAGACCAAGCAATTTTTTTCCTTCCCTCTCATGCTTCAACTCAATGGCTCAAATATTAGCCATATTAACCCTGTAACCCACAAGCTGATTTCTTCACAAGGGGACAACTGAAAAAGCATACATTTCTACGTCAAAAGCACACACTGTAAAATTCAATCATCTCTCACCACAGACTACTTGGAAAGCTTCCTAATATTAAGTTATTTAATATAAAGTCTTTGAAATCTTGAATTGGGACAAGAGGCTAGTTCCTAGGAGAAGAAACAGAACTTAAAATGAGGGCTGGGAATATAGCTTAGTGGAAGAGTCCTTCCTGGTACTGGTTTAAGCCCCAGTATTTGGGGGGGGGG